ATCAAAGGTAGCATAATTGTTGTACTATCAGCTGATGTGACATTAGCCTGGTCACGTTGACCACTTTCCACTGCGCTGAGGGTAAGAGGTGTCGCAGCAAGAGTGGCATCATCTTATTGAATGTTATAGCGTTATGTAAGCTAAGGTTTGATATAAAGATAAAGCATTAGGTTATGACACTGAGAAAATACTCTACTCAAAACACAAACGAAATGAATTTTCAAAGAAAGTTGAACGATGTTTCAGAAGGTAATGACTGCAATAAACACAGCAAATGAAAAAAAAAAAAGAAAAAGCACTTTAAAAAACAACGATCGTTGGGGGCAGACGGTGTGCTGGACAGGTCCCATAATATTTTTTTATTTTTTTTTAGTGAGTTAGTAAAGGAGGAAATGCTATCTACTTCGTCCGGTCAATTGTGAAGGAAAAATGATTAGGAGAAGAGAGAGTAGTCCGAATAGGGGAAAATGCCTTCACAATCGGTGAATTTCGAGTGCAAAGACAAAGAAAAACACGCGGACATAAAACAAAATCCATAAAGATGCATTTCAAATACCGGAATTGTCACGAGATAAACAGTTCTGTGGGAACAGTGGGGAGTTTTAGTCATTAATAACGTTATCAGCAGCATTAAAACGAAGAAAAAAGAGGAAACAACCAGATCTATATATAACTCCCCAATGAAACCAACAAGAAATATTACACAAATACTCCTTTTTGGAGAGCTCCCATGGTTATGTGAGCAAATTCTGGACTATTACAGGTCTGAATCTGATGTCAAACTAAGTCCGGAGACGAGTCGAAGCCGGGGTTAGTCGGTAACGTAGCAAGTGGCCCCTCATTGTTAGCGCGATAAAAACAGCCAACCCTCATTCCGTCCCTCGCAGGTGGGATAGTCGGAATTATCGGGCTAAAATCCGATGGGTGCCGGGTTATACGGTTTTATTTCTAATGTTTTAAAGACATTTCTTGACCAAATTCAGATCTGTCTTTGAGTGAGCATATGAAATGGACAATTTACTATCGATAGGGCCAATAAAAAGTTTTTTGATATTTCGTGGGTTAGACGGTTTTATCACCAGGCCGACGTTGTGCTGTTTAAACCCCTCCTACCCAAATCACCTCCCTTACTGTGTCATCCACCCTCCCCCCATCCCAAAAAAGCAACAACTACCTGTGTTGTTGCAACCCATCCTCAACCCTCCCATATCCCCCATCCTCGCCACTCTGACTGCATCACCCTCCCTTCCACCTCCTCGCCACCAAATTTGTGTTGTATGTTTGAACCCTCCCACCTACCCCCTCCCCCGTGGGTGGTTTGGGGATGCTCTGATGTGGTTTGCTTCTTCCTTCCAATCAACTTTTTGTCGTACTTATCTCTTCTATTATTTTGTTATTATTTACTCTCTTGTAACAAATCAAATCTTCCTCACTTATATGACCCAATTGTGTTGCAAGTGCCTTAAAACGCTTACTGTAAAAATCCCTTTCCCCACTACCTCCTTCCCCCCTCCCCCAAGCCAAACCAACTTTCACTCTCATCTCTCAGACTGTCTCACCCCCTCTCCCCCCACCCCCATCCCCACCCTTCCACCCTGCACCACGCACAATCCGTGTGGTTTATCTGTCTCAGTAGTCCCGTCCATTAAGGAATTGCTCACTTTTCATCTGTGATCTATAGACCCTGTCTGTCTGATTTGACCCTCACGGTCGTGGATCTGGTGGGTCAGGGCGGGAGTGGTCATCCCATTACAGCAGAGTTGGCAATACGGTCAGTCAGTCACTGACCTTAGTGTTGTTAGTCACAACCTCAACTCATCTTATTTTGTTGGGGGATTTTTTCCTTCTTTAGTTGTACCATTTTAAAAAAGGTGTTTTTACGTCCCCTTTGTAACATTTTAGATAAATTAGGACACAGGCTTCTGATCCTGCCTGCTAGAGCCAACCCGGACTGGCGTGGGGGGGGGTACAACATCTCAAATGAAAGACCAAGACACTCGATTAAAATGCATACCATTCGGAAACCGAACTCGGTTCCCCTGAGTACGGCAGCGAAGCGCCCAACCGCTACGCTACTGACACCTGTGATTGCAATTCCGTCGAAATAGATTGAAAAATTGAAACCATTGTCGTATGTATTTTTCAAAGAGCAGAATAGCCATTTTCAAATAGGAAACGAAGACTGTGATCTGGTAGAATGTTGCAGATAGAACCTGCATGACAAACAGTAACTCGAAACATCCACAAAACGCAGAGAGATCCCTTTTAAATCTCACATGACGACCTTTAATCCGTCCCCACCCCAACCCCCACCCCTTCTTTTTTCGGTGACTGATAGGAAAAGTTATCTCATTATCGTTGATTATTATTGTCTGTATGCATGGACGTGTCTTGATTGAGAAAGATGTTTCTGAACTTTTGACTGGAATAATAATAATATATCGTATCTCATTCAGTGATGAATTCGTCTAGTATTTCAAGCCGACAAGTTCGTTTATGGAACACAGTTTCAATGAAGTGGAAAGTCTGGGTTCTAGCGTCAGTTCGGATATGGATTTTTTCACCCCCTCCTGCACACCCTACAGTAATGGGTACCTGACTTCGAGTTGGGGAAGTAAAGGTGGCGTGGAAAGGAACTGGCCACCCTACCACAATATGCCGTAGGCCCAAAAAGTTGTCTCACTAATAAGGCAATCCCCAATGTCCGGACCGGATGCGGGAACAACTTTACTTTTTTACTATCCTGGTCTTTCCTCGTCACGCACCTGGGTTTTGTTAGTCGTTTTGTTGTTGATGCTGGGTTTTTGTTGGGGGGGGGGGGGGGGGGGGGGT